TTGAAAAGGCCAATCATTAAAATTACCCTTAAAATTACCCTTAAAAACCCCACTAAAATTCCCTAGGCCAGACCCGCTTGTTGAAAAAGCCATGTCTTTAGGGCGCGGCGGAAGGAGGGGAGATCCGGGATCACCCGGATCTCTGGGGGTAGTTCGTTCCAGAGGGTGGGGGCTCCCACCGAGAAGGCCCTCCCCCTGGAGGTCGCCAGCCGGCACTGTCTGGCTGACGGCACCCTGAGGAGACCCACTCTGTGGGAGCGTACCGGCCGATGGGAGGTAACCTGCGGCAGAAGGCGGTCTCAGAGATATCCAGGTCCGATGCCATGGAGCGCTTTAAAGATGATGACCAACACCTTGAAGCGCACCCGGAAGGCCACCGGCAACCAGTGCAGCTCGCGCAGCAGCGGTGTTACATGGGAGCGACGAGTCCCTCCCAACACCGCCCAAATGCAAATGTAAAACCATCAGAAAGTTTGTCAAGACAAAGAGACTTAAAATCTGCATGCCCCACCCAAACTCTGGGAGTCATTAGCCCCATCACCAGAGAAGCAGGATATGATAATAGGATTAAACCACAGATATCAAGGCTCAGAAAAACACTCAGAGATATCCTCAAGGTTCATGCCACAGGAACAGGAAACTATTCCAAACGGAGGGCTGGAGGGGGTATAAAAACCTCCTACCCATGTGCTCAGCCCCTCTCTCTCCTCTGCTCTTTCCTGCAAGAACCATCTTTCTGCTTCTTCAATAAACTGCAACCATCTTCCCAAAGCTGTCGCCATGTTGTTTATTTATCCCCGGCTTGGATGAACCAGGATGAAGACTTACTTCTGACATGGACTTCTTAAGAAAAGCATCTATTCCATTTTGCTTTGCTTTAGCAAGCAAGATCGCAGATGTTTCCCAGCTAAGACCAGCCTTGCCCAGAGGCAGAAGGGGTGGGGTGGGTGGGTGGGGGCTGAGTCTTCCCATGTACCGGTCACTTACAACATCCCGTGGAATCCGGCCCGGCAGAGGCACTTCCCGGTCTCAAAGTGGCATTCCCCGTTAAAACAGCTGCTGCAGACGAAGGCGCAGTTCTCGCCGTACGTCCCATTGCGGCATTTGGTCTCGCATCTGGAAAAAAGGGCAGCAAGATAAAACAAGGTAAGGGAGCTAGGGCTTACGTCTATCTGGGGGTTCAGCGGTTGGTTTTGGGGTGCTGGCTGCAGGAGCACAGGGCGTCTTTGGATCCAGCCAAGCCACGCATGTTTGTTTGCCCTTCCTGAGAACCACCCTTTCCAGGGCAGTATAGTTTTCAGTTAGAGCATATTCACCTAAAGATATCAACCCAATAAATCTATATAAATAAAAATGTAAATGTTCATTTGTTCAAAATCTTAAATCTCCGAAAGTTCTTCACCAATTGCTTTGAAATTTTGACACAATGTTGCATTCGAATACGTGCATGTTTTTATATACTGTACCTACTATTATATAGATGTCACACCTGTGACAGGTAAAAACATGTTTTTGAAAAACAGCGCCATCTGTTGGACATAAAAGCAACGCACGCTTTTACCAGACTGAGCCACAGCAACGTGTGGCTGGGTACAGCTAGTAATAGAAATAAACAGGGGTGCCTGGAGAAAGGGTAGTGACCAAAACAAGTTAAGATGCTGGTCAGAACTGTGCAATTGAAGCCACGCGCCCTTTTATGCATATCCCCCCAGGTCATGCCTGTAAAAAGGGGGCTGGGCTTTGATCATACAGTAGTACCCACCATCTCAGCTTTGTTGACTCCCCCCCTTCCCTGGGGGATGCCCCTGTAATTACTAACAAACTGTTATAATACCACTCCTTAATTTAATGACAACTGATAAATTCACAGCCAAACACCTTCAGGGGAGATCATCAAATGAACAATGAAGTGTTAATACCACTTTACAATGCCTTGGAATACTGCATCCAGTTTTGGTCACCACGATGTAAAAAAGATGCTGAGACTCTAGAAAGAGTGCAGAGAAGAGCAACAAAGATGATTAGGGGACTGGAGGCTAAAACATATAAGGAACGGTTGCTGGAATTGGGTATGTCTAGTTTAATGTCAAGAGAAGGACGAGGGGGGACATGATAGCAGTGTTCCAATATCTCAGGCGCTGCCCCAAAGAAGAGGCAGTCAAGCTATTCTCCAAAGCGCCCGAAGGCAGGACAAGAAGCAACGGATGGAAACTCATCAAGGAGAGAAGCAACCTAGAACTAAGGAGAAACTTCCTGACAGTGAGGACAATTAACCAGTGGAACAACCTTCCTCCAGAAGCTGTGGATGCTCCAACAGTGGAAGTTTTTAAGAAGAAACTGGACAGCCATTTGTCTGAAATGGTATAGGGTTTCCTGCCTGAGCAGGGGGTTAGACTAGATGACCCCCAAGATCCTGTCCAACTCTGTTATTCTATTCTATTCTATTCTATTCTATTCTATTCTATTCTATTCTATTCTATTCTATTCTGTTCTGTTCTGTTCTGTTCTGTTCTGTTCTGTTCTGTTCTGTTCTGTTCTACTCTATTCTAAATAATTTCCCAGTTCTATGAAGGATGTAAGCTATTCCATAAATGGACCACCTGTATCGTCTCTTGGGGTCTTTCATTCTTGATCAAAGATGCCAAGCACCATAGAGCAGAGGTCCCCAACCTTTGGGTACCAAGGACCGGTTCCGTGGAGAAAGATTTTTCCACAGACTGTAGGGTGCATGGTTTTGTGTGCTGAGGAATTCTGGGAGTTGAAGTCCACAAGTCTTAAAGTTGCCAAGGTTGAGGACCCCTGCTTTAGGACATAATAGGATTAACCCACCACCATCAGAATACCAAAAGGGCACACTGAACCTCAGGTCCAAGTTCATGCCACAGGAACAGGAGCAACTCCAAACACAAAAGCCCAAGAAGGTATTAAAAACCTGGCTGAGGAATTCTGGGAGTTGAAGTCCACAAGTCTTAAAGTTGCCAAGGTGGAGGACCCCTGATCAAAGACACTCAGTACTCAGGGGCCATCAGACACTCACCTGTCTCCGATCCAGCCTGGATTGCAGTGGGA